TAACATCATTTTTTCCTTGCTGATGACATCGTCCTCATAACACCAAACATTAGCCAAGCAGAACGTATGCTTGCTGACTTTGATAAAGCCTATGGAAAGGTTGGTCTTCGACTAAATCTCACAAAAATGATGTTCATGAAGAACGGATTGGTTTCGCATGCCCCATTCACGCTCAACGGAACGAATATTTCCGAATGCTCCAGTTATGTCTGTCTAAGTCGGGAAATGAATATGTTGAACGACATAGCTCCAGAGTTGTGCAGAAGGAAACGAGCGGCTTCGGGAGCTTTCAAGAGAATCGAGGATGTAGTGAAGAGGACAAAGAACTCCCGACTCCGTGCCCACCTTTTGGACCTAACAATGGTTCCTGCCTTAACGCATGCGTCTGAAATCTGGTCGCTGTGCAGTCGAAAAGACGATGCTAGGAGTATCCCGTTCCACACAAGTAAGAGATGGGATCCGAAACTCCGATCTGCGTCAACGATCAAAAATCAAAGATGCCGTTCTCTACGCCAAACAGTCGAAGATAAAGTGGGCTGGACACTTAAGGCGTATGAATGACAACCGATGGATAAGAGCCGTTAGTGACTGGATTCCTCGGGATGTCAAACGTACTGCAGGAAGACCACTGACTCAATGGTCAGTGTTCTTCATAATGAGCCTTGAAGAAAGATATGATGCTCGACTAGTCCCTAGAGCAAACAGAACCCACTGGGCTACTCTTGCACGCGACAGGGAAAAACGGAAGATTTACTAGCGCCCGCTCGAGTCACTCGACGACCAACGGGACTACAGATGATACGGGTGATATATATATATATATATATATATATGTATATATATATATATGTATATATATATGTATATTTACCGATGAGCAAACATAAATTCAGCACCAATTTGAATCACTCAAAAATGTGCGAAGGTATTGTTGACTGTTTTTAGGCAGATGTATTTGCATCTCGAAATGCTTTATGAATTACGAAATTAGCATAGTGAACACAATCCTCGAACCAAAGGGCCACCATGAACGACGATCTCGTGAAAAACACACAAATGGGAGATATGCTGAGGTTCGCAAAACCCGCAAATAGCTCCCATCCAACATCTTTTTAGAAAAGTATGAACATATCTTTGGTTTGGATTATATGCTTGTGTTGGCTTATGAAGTCTGTCTGCCCTGGCGCTTCTGTTGATATATCGATCACAAAAATTTTTCCGTATTAGGTTTAGACGATGGGATATCTATCTTGATTACGAGTAATGTGAATTCCTACAAAAAGATCGTCGTGCTACGACCATTTTGTTTACATAGCTGAGTTTATTTAAACACATAATGCTCGGCGTTTAGCGGCGCTTTGGGACGTCTCCTTATCTTCGTGCTTTACCTATTTGGTGGTTTTTTGACAGCAAACAATAATTTACCGATTGTCACAAGAGAATTGAGCGGTTTTAGACATGGAGGGAGGAGGGGGGGGGGGGGGGGGGGGGGGGGGGGGGAGCGGTTTGAAGGTGACATTCCTGTGTCGTTCTGTTGGTATGATAGCTATGTATGCTTCCATTTCATATGTGCTACTATGGTCCATTACGTAGATACTTTTAGCATTTTGGAAGGCTTTGCGGCTTATTTTGAGTCTACGTTGGTATTTTTCATACCGGCGCATTCCATGCAATAACTATGGTTCATCATAGCGGTTAGAATGGAATAGAAATTGAACGCTAGTCAAATTACCGCTCAGTAAACTTGTCTGAAAAGAGTATTCTTGTAAATCATTAAGCTCAGCGAGATTCTCCTGATCCGACCCCTCCTTCGACGATCTGCCTTCGATTAGCTATCTATAAGTATAAATGAACTGAAACTGAACACTACACGGAAGAGTAGTCCACTCGAGCCGTCATGTTTTGAAATATTCTTCCGAATTATCGCGAATATGTTAATTATTTCATGATCATGCGCATTCGTTTTATATGTACTCTGTCGTACGTCTCTGACCGTGCATCTCGATTTCAATGCGCACGTTCTTTTGGTGTATTTAGCCACACAGAGTTTTTTTGCTAGACCTTTTGTAGCAAATCGATTGCTTGTCCAACACACACTTTACGAGGGGCTGATCCAAGGTTAGCTAGCTATTCCTATAATCCTGTATTAGCCAAATTGTACTACGCTATACTTCCCGACGAGTCAGCCCCACTGTTCCGATTTTATCTGTTGGTCTTTACAGAGTAAAGTTTAGAGGTTAGAGACACTTTACCGTTAAGACGGCATATTACCGAGAGGACTTCTGTAAACGTGTTTGTAGGATTTAGAATGCCTGAGCGTTCTCAATGTGCGCTTTTATCAGTGGGCAGACTCTATTCTTGGGAAAGGAACACATTCCCAACACTTATCGCACTTTTCTGTCACCTTTGTTGTAAACGTCTAACTCAAAAGCATTTACTTTGCAATGCGATACTTTTAGAGAAATCCAGTATGGAGGTATTTGTAGTGTGTACCAAAAGTAAACGTGGACAGTGGAAAGAATACATATTACTAATCTATACTTTCATAACATCTTACTGGTGTCGTAAACCTTACTAAAAGTATTTATCTAGAAACCATGAACTATTCAATCAGCACCGGTCAATAATTCACCTTTTACAGTCACCACTAGTTAACAATTCACGTTTCTTGCATAGGGTTTCACATGTACTAAACACTTAGTACATCCTCAAGAATCAAATTGTACTTCTTATTCTTTATTGCAGAAATACACAATGTGCAATTTGTACCTATGATATACCTTAAGTCCTTAACCTCAACCTACCTTACCTTAAGTCCCTAACCTCAGTCCTTAAGTACCGACTGCCTACTCCGCATGAATAGATTACATTTCTGCACTGGCTGCACCTAAAACATACTTGCCAAGCGTTCCTTATAGCATATCTAGAACTTCCATACTCTATCAACTTTTTGTAACACTCCAAGCATCGTCTCCATCTTTTTGTACTGGGAGTGTCCTTTTCGAGAATGCGGCTAGTGATCGTTTGTGGAACAGTGTCCTCTAGTAATTACCTCAGGTCTACTTTCCACTTGCACTCGTTGGACTTAATTCTTCGCATGCAGTTACTGCAGATTCTCCACGGTTTAAGCAAAATTGTGTGCGTGGCGAAGTGATAGAACAGACGTATATAACCCCTGTAGATGCAGTCGTAGATGCAGATGAACCGCTGTAGACAGTGTATGCCGAATGGTCAAAGTCAGACGATGAGCAGTGAGCATCTTGAAACCTAATATAAACGTAGAAATGTGTATATACGTGTGTAATCCTAAGAGTCCTACTCGTAACAGCACGGCTCTGAGGAAGGCGAAATCGCCAACACATCAGCCATCGACCAACAATGACAACTGTACCTATCTAGCATCGGCTCAACAGGATCAGTTCATAAAAACGTATAAATCCTAAGACTATATGTACGTAATCGCATACTGGTTCTTCTGCACACAACAGTAGTAAGTACACCATCTACTCTCTTGTATCCATCTCGCCACGATAAATCATGGTTATGGTACGGAATAAGCAGACGTAGCGCAGAATCCTTCTGTAAATCCAGTGGAGATCCAACTGCTGAGGTGCACTAAAGATTGGAAAATTGCTGAAAGTTGTCGAATAACTGGCATCGCATTCCGTGCGAAGCGTTGATTTTGAAAAGCAATCCGTCGTTCTCTTATTTTCAGATCCCCTTTGCAATGATAACCTTTAAGAATTGTATGGAATGGAAGGATATTAAAACCACAAAGTAAACATCTTAATATCCTTTGTACAACTTACATCACTTCACTAAATGCTGACAAGACTACTCCAGATTGTGGACTTTTCCTTCACCACACACGGGAGTTGGATAAGGTCCAAGAACATGGTAGCGTAAGGACATCATAGCGAATACATAGAATTTAGAGAGGTACGAAAAATATGGGGAGAGCCGAACAGTAGAGCGATAATCCCAAGGGAGCTGTGCCTAATGCCTCATGCGCGGGCCAATAGACCGTACGTCTTGACCTGAACACGCATTTCGGTTGCGCTCCAGTGACACGCAATAGTGCAAGGGTTGGTGCTCCTACAGTGTCGTTCGTGGTTTCTGCACTTGACTTACCGTTTGTTCTAATGAAGATTCCTTCTTTTCTCTTTTGTTCTTGCCAAAGTGTATTATCTTTATGCGCGTTCTTTTTTATAAATTCATTCGGTAATGATATGTTAGCTTTAAAAGTTGTTAACTTTGCATGCGTACTATTTTTGACCTTCAGTACGTTTTTGCAGTCGAATTTTTAGCTTCCGCCTTGGTTTGCTTCTGTTAGTTGAATGTTCGTTTGTTCAAAAACAAGTTAGTGAAAGTTCCCTTGTATATTGGCTGACTCATTCTCACGAATTATGCGCCAGCGACGAGTTATCCATCATGCTGACGTATTGCTGGTGCAGCATGCTTTTTCTTCTTAGTACTCTTGTAAAATTTCTGTTAAAATGTTCACGCTTTTAATATTGGAGAGAGTGGCCACCTCTTCTTAGCCAGAGATTTCCCATGTCGTGCATACGTTCACAGCCTTCCTTCTGGTAGGGCTACAAAATTCCTGATATTAGCTGACTTCCAGGTCGACATCTCGAACTCCTTTCTAAGTCCATCACTATGCCAGCGGTTGAATCTTCGGCCTTTCATTTGACTTCGTACTCATGCCCACCTACAACGGTTAGATGATGTACAACAAAGGAGAAGATGGCCTTATCACGCTCTTGTTCGTCTTTAGGGATATGACGAGATTATTTAGAGCAGCAGTTATTAATCATACTCAACAGTTGCTTTGGAACACATTTGCACATAAACAGCTGCTTACGTCCTTATTTCAAGTCTTGTGTTTTACTTATTCGTGTCATTTGTGATTTTGTGGAGTTCTCCTTTTCAAATAGTTATTTTTTGCATCCGACTGCTAGGACACCCTTCAGATTCGACAACTCGGAAGAAGGTGAGCGATGAGACTGAGCACCGTCGGACCGCAGATGCGAGCCTTCACCAGTCGCGTACGTCATTTCTCCACCCAACCTCAGTTCACACACCCAACGATTGTGTTCGTTAAAGATGTGCAAGGTATGCGTGCGAATGACGGACTGCTTCTTTTCTTTCTCGACCACTTCCTATCTAAGCCTAAAGTTTATTTCTTCCTCATGCCGTCACTTCCTCCCAACGGGTTACCGCCTCATCGTGGCTGGGAGGTGTTCCTGTGTGTCAAGCTGCGTTGTGCAGCGGGAGGATTCATTCTACCTGCAGGGTCTCCCAAACTGTGAAGGGGTCCGCAGTTTCCATCAAGAAGCTTAGCTAAGAGTAAACCAATGCCAGGATCCGCCACCGTCCTGGTATCAAACTAGTCGCATGTTGGTAAATCTCCCTCTGATCCACAAGGGCTGTGGTGGTTGCCTATCGTGGTGACGACCTGGGGCAGACTTTGGCCAGGTTGACCTCGGGACTCCAGAGAAACAATGGCAAACTCATCAAAGCTCCGAAAACATGGGGATTATGCTGGGGCTCGCACAACCAGTGAGGGCGGGTCGTCCAAGTAAGTAAGTAATTTATATTGTCACTTATTTCGAGAACATGATAACGAATTTTTAGTTGAGTAGTTTTTTCTAACATACTTAAAGTTGTCTGTTATTGGTTTTTGACTTTGCGACAGGTAAAGGCTGATCTTATGTTTCGATATGTACGACATGTTACTCATAGTATCCAATTTCGATTTAATGAAAGATTACTCAGATTACTTTGTATGTTAAATAAAGAAGGATTTAAATATAGTTACCAGCGTCTCGTAGAAACCATATCTAACTACTGGTTGTTTTTTCGAAAAGCACAGTAGTGCTTTCATATTGCAAGTTTTTTTTTTGTTTTATTTATTATGTCTAGATCATTTCGCAGGCGATATATTATTTTAGGACGCCAGAATTCACTGCTGGGACCTGCAGATAAACAATTTCCATTACCTGGAGATGTTTGTCATAAAATATTCTTCCACGAACAACCGACTCTACAGGTGTGTTGAAGTCAGATTGATCGTCGAGGGTGGTATAGTACTAGGCGGTGTTGGAGAAATCGAGCAGTAGAGATTAGTGTGAAGTTTCGAAGGTTTTGATGTTTTAGCGTATTGTGGAGCTTTGACAAACATTCAAACAAAGGCATCAATATGCTGATTCCTACCAAGTATCTCTCGTTTGAGTTCAGTTTCGAAAACTTGTGGAGTTGCAATAGACTCGTTAATAACGTCAGCATTTCTTACTTAAAACGCAATTGTTCAAATCATGCAACTCCTCTCGAAGTTTAATCCACTATATTGACTCGTAGAGCGCGTGTGGCGCAGTGGTCGGGAGCACCCCGCGATGCACACGTGGGGTCGATCTCCACGCCTGCGGCTCACCCAAGCCTTCTATCCCTCCGAGCTGAACAAATCGGTACCATGCCTATCTGGGAGGATAGCAGAACTGACCTAATATATCGGTGGGCCACCACAAGTCCAGATATGAATTCAATCACCTCCAACGATGAAGTCGAATGCATGGCGCATCCCTCGGGGATTGATCAACGCCGAAAGCTTTATAATTTTTATCCTTTGTTGCTTCGTATATCCGGTCAATTTTAGCAGTCTGCGACGTCGTCCTGTATGGACCAGAACACCCATAGCGTTCAAGAGATATTATCCATGTCTAACGTTGAAGCTGACGCAAATTATTCAGCCAGTGTACAAGAATCAGTGTTTGGAGAGGTGAGATAAAGTCATTAGTCTTCCAAACACTAAGGGTTTGTAGAGGGTGATTGTTCCGAGCTTTTTTTGGCGGAGTCGTTACTATGTGAAAGTTGCTGGAGGTACTAAGTGGTCTTTCAATTTGAACATGTGTCCAAGCTAATTATGGTATCTGCTCTTTTTTGTAGTAATTGAATGTTGTACTTTTTAATCTACGGAGTTGCTTTTGAAAATGTGGTAGTTTGGAGTAGAGACTTTATTATGCTTTTTTCAGACGCAAGTAGGCAGTGCTGATTGGCCTGTTGAGTTAACCGTCCAAGAGTGTCCGCGGTTGCTGAAGAAAGGTGTGTTTGTTGTCGGCCTTCTTGCTTTTAACAAAGACCTTTGACTGCAGTAATGTTTTTAGCTCACAATATCAGCTCTTCATTGTTAATTTCTCCTAACATCCTTATTTATTGATTACTAATTCTTGTGAAAAAAGTGAGCCTGAACGCGATGGAATGCAAATGGGCGCACATGTAGTCGCAAAGGAATTTCATTCTCTTTTAAAATTCCGACTTTATTTGCAGACATGAAACACCTTTTCCCTGGAATGAATTTCGACAATGTAAACATCAGTGTGATAAACATCACTCAAAAGACGGAACATGATATGAAAGTATGGAGCGGAAAGATGGAGCAAGAACGCGAGATACTCACTGCTTCAGTTAGTCCTTCCCATTTGGGCCATTCATTGTATGTTAACGATCGCTTTTTACCTAATTAAAAAAATCTCTACTCGTCTATTAGGTAGTCTTTAATTTTTACTAAGCACTGCTTTACTTTAGAAAGTTTTTGCAAGTTTATTTTTAGTTTCATATAAATAATGCTACTTTAGTTCATTTCGTCAGCTATAGCTATGTGCGCAACACTTCGTCGTTGTGGTTATTGGGCTGATTTCATAGATCCCTCTTCCGGGAGACCTTACCTAGGTATGAACCTCAAAGTCCTTGGTGCCATTTTTGTTTTGTAGCATGTAGTATAACTTTATTGAAATGACTACTTATGTTATTGACTTTATGTTATCTACTTTGCCCTGAATTAATTACTTAGATACTCGAATGGCCCACCCTCATTGGATGTGCGGGCTCCAGCATAATCTCCATGTTTTCGGAGTTTAGCTGGTTTGGCCATCGTGGTTCCCTGGAATCCCGAGGTCAGCATGGTGAGTCTGCCCAGGTCGTCACTACCCAGGCAATCGCCGCCCTTGTAGATCAGAGATTCGCCACTATGCGACTAGTTTCATAACAGAACTGTGGTGGATCCAGGTAATGGTTCACTCCCAGCTAGGCTTCTGGATAGAAACGTCGGACCGCTTCTCAGCTTGGGAGACCTTGCCCGAAGGATGACTCTCCATTGTACATCACAGCTCTACACCTTGCAACACCTCCCACTCACGACGATGCGGTAAACCGTTGGGATCAACATTAATTTGTGATATTAATTTCATTATTTTGTTTGTACACTTAACACATTCTTTTTATGCGATGCTATTATATTCCAATGTTATAATTGCTTAGGAAATTGAGAGAATTAAGGGAAATTCACCAATCATGCTCTTTTCGAAACAGATGATGCTTATAAGCAAATGGGCTTCCGCATTGAAGATCTGGGATGTTGCAAGGTACGTTTATTAAATAAATTTGTATTCATTCTTGAAAATTCGGAGTATTATTCTACCCCATATGGAGACAATCTTTGCATTGAAAAAATTCCACAAGACAAGTTCATGTGGCACCTAGGAGAATGTCTTTTTGGTGCTCTTCATAGTCCTTTAAAGCATCATCACTTTAATCGATACAAAGCTCTCAAGAGTTAATCTACGCATTATCAATTCGTAGGTGCTCCAACACGTAGCATGGGGATCTCGAGCGTTTGTCGGTACGTTGTTCACAGACGCTCCAATCGATTGTTCGATCATACAGGATTTCATAAAAAAGGTGAACACGGATGATGCGGTTGTCAATAACCGTGAATAACGTCACCCACCTTTCAAGAATAAGATATTACGCAATGTATTTGTATATCGTATTGTTACAAAGCTTACAAAGAAGTTATCTGGTTCTCACTGGTTGAGAATATAAATAGATTTCCTCTTTCTTCGTATTCCACTGGCTTTGCCTTGTTTTGGAGATAAAACAGCCTTATGTAGATTTATGTGTATATAGTATGTGGCTAACAGAATTGTAATTTGATTTCCTTACTTTCTTCGTCGTACGTTTATCTCAGTCCTTAGCATGCGACTTGTAGTCGTTGGCTTAAACTGTGTGTTAAAGCATAAATTCAAGTTGTATTATGGGGTATTCGACGTATGTAGTGAAGACCTAGGAACCTGAGCATCTATATAATAGGATTAAAATGACATTTTTCCAGAAGTGCCTCTAATATTTAGAGGTCACATCTATATACCAATGGGTGATGACACGACTTTTACAATTGTCGTACTCCGTCTTAATGTACATACAATGGTAGAAATCAGTTTAGAACTTAACATCAACAATGTCTAAGAAATTGAAGCACAAATGAAGCTTTACTTTATTCTTATGCAATGTCTCCCATATCTGTATGACTCTTGGTATCTCTGACTTATTAAGAATATGATGCATCAAAAGTCCAGGGGTGTTGGGTAGTTTCCATTAAGACAGGCAGTACAATGCCCAATATTGGAATGAACTCGCCGTTGGATACCCGACTGCACAGCCTGAAATTCTTTAAATTGTAGATGTAAATTGTTTTCCTCATTACATTCATTATCTGTTCTATCAAATTTATCTACCTAATACACGTCTCTGTAGTTTTTAAAGCATTTAGCAGGGAATTTTAAATAACAGAGTTGAAAGAATAATATGGGATTGTTGGAATGAAGTAATAAATGTCACTGTTGCCGTTAGATACGCACTGAGTCACCAAAGCAAGTAGGTATTGGTGAGCAAAGCAAAATAAAGTGGTATGGCATGGTATATTGAGGTCTACATCGCATTTGATTAACACAGACCAATTTGGACGAGGAAGAACGTTTCCTAGTTTGTTTTTTCACGTGAAAGAGATGCGTGTAGCGCAGTGGTTAGAGGTACTCTGCAACACAACTGGTCCAATGTTTCGATTCTGAGCTCTGCTCATCACACCCTTCATTTCTCCGACGTCGACAAACTGGAAGCAAACTTTTCGAAGAGGATAGCAGCACTGACTCAATTCATTGGTGACCCATCGCAAGTTATAATATAGGCTAGATATGCATTCAGTCACCTCTGACAATGCTTAGTGAAGTCGAATGCGTAGCGTATACCTCAGAGACTAATAAACGCAGAAAGCTTTATCCTTTTTTACTCTGTACCATATATTCTTTTTACTCTATAAAAAGCTCTCGGCGTTGATCAATTCCTGAGGAATGCGCCATGCGTTCGACTTCACCAAGAATTGTTCAAGGTGATTAAGTGCATATCTGGCCTTTACAATGACTCGTGGTGGCTTACCGATGTAGTGACCCGGTGCTGCAATCCTACCAGACAAATCATACCAATTTATTGATACCAGAGGTTTTGCGGGATGCCTCCGACCAATGCACTGCACGCGCCCCGTTTTGCTCTATATTGTACTATAGTGTACGAACCTTTTTCAGACCTTCTAGTGATAAATACGTTATAGATGTAGCTCCAATATATTCAGTGATTTCCTCGATATCTTTTCCACTTGCTAGCAACTCATCTGTTGTGGTTATATTTATACCCATGAAGCAGGGGAATTTAACTGGTGGTGAAGCGATGCGAAGATGCACCTTAAATGCAGTATAAAGTACCAATTCAACTACATGACCATAGAAACAATATTACACCTCTTTGGCTCCGGCTTTTCGTAGCATCTGCACGATTATTCGCATTGTATTTCCACGAACAATAGAATCATCAATGAGCACAATACGACGACCGCTCACATTCTGTCTAATCACGCCTGAAAATTCGCCAAAGTATCGCAGGAAGAACTGAGAAAAGTTTTACGTACTCACCAAATTTTTTGTAAATAGCAGACTGTCTTGTCTTGTCACATGGCTGAATAAATGATCGTCCTACATAGCTGTTACGATGAAGGCACGGTTCGTATGGAACACCAGACTGGAACAAAGCAAGATGTTCAGTCGAAGTTTAGCAGTAACGGAACTAAGAAGACGTCAAAACTTCTGCAGCACTGGAGTTTCAGCATTAACAAGCTGCGAGAGCATTCAGTTTATGTGTATGTCAAATCATATGCACTCTAGTGATGAAAGGAAAACAAGGAAACACTGCAGCAAAAATTAATAGGAAAAAATCAACACATTGAGGATACATCGGGTATAGATTGCAATGGATATGTAACCAGAGACAATTGAATCTTTCAACATTAGAAACATCTCATCTCATGGTAGACAACATTAAATGGAATGAAAATCAGTAGAATCTGTGATTTTTGACAAGATATGACTCCATTTACTCTAAAAGGATAAAGGATGAAGCGTTCGAAGTTGATCAATCCCTAAGAAATGCGACATGCATTGGACTTCATTAAGCTTCGCAGAGGAGCCTGAGTGCATATTTGGTCTCTACAGTGACTCACGGTGGCGTACCAACATATCAAATTCTACAAGTCCGGTGCTAATCTGCTGATCCCGAAGAGATGGAAACCATGGTGAGTAGAGGGTTCGGAAACGAACCAAAGATCGCGTGTGGGTATTGTAGGGTAATTCTAACTAATGCACTACACGCGACCCCATTTACTTAAGGAAGTTGGGAATCTAATTTTGCTTTAGAAACGCCTTAAAGTAATACCTGTATGTTCGCTCGTTTGACCTCGCCTCGGGTCGTCAAAGCCTCATATTCCTATCAAAAGTCTGTAAATTGGTACCAGACTTGTCGAGAAAGAGTTCATTCCGATCTAGAAAGACTAACAATGGTTTTTGTGGTGTGATAGGAATGCCATCGATCTAGTGGTCTTATTTCCAAATTCCAGAGAAAATCTACACGATCAGTGTTCAACGACAATTTTAAGGAACCCAAAGTCCTCAAGTGACAGCTGAACTCCCATGTGTATCCGAAGACCATCGATGATGAAAAGACGAGAAAGAACGAATCGAATAAAAGAAATATTGGAAATATGCACAATGCATAATATCGAGTCCGATAAGTACAACAAACGCTAAATCTCAACCAATCCCTAAATCCATGCCGATGACATATCTGAACTATTTCATGCATAATCTTTCGGCGTACTCGATGTGAATGAGGCAAGAAGCGGTTCATCATCCAGCTGAGAGCCGAAAAGAGAACGGTTGAAGGCTGGACAAATGAAAACCTGTGCAATGGTGCTCAAATGGAAGGATACTAGAGGTATCATCATGACGACTACGTGCACAACACAATTCTTTTGTACGTCATAAGAAGCAGGCTATCGAAAACTACAACCAAGCAAAACTGCTTATAGACACACCACTAAATGGCACATCGCGATGTTCAAAAAGTCTTGGTTTTTACTCCCTCATCGCATCCACTTCTAGGAGTTTCCCTAGTACAACCATGGAACGTCAAAGGATAAACGATAAACCCCTCAGGGTTGATCAATTCCTGAGGGATGCGCCATGAATTCGACTTCACTAAGCATCACTTGAGGTTACTGAATGTATATCTGGCCTTTACAATGACCCGCGGTATCCTACCGATCTATCGAGCCGGTGCTGCTATCCTCGCAGACAAGTCTGGTCCCTATTTGCCGACCCCGAGGGGATGAAAGGCTTGGTGAGCCTTGGGCGCAGGGATTGATCCCATGTTTATTGCAGGGCGCCTCCGACCACTTCACTATGCGCGGAACGTTATAGAGGCTTTTATTGTAAGATGCTGGCAGAATGCTGTGATTCCAAATCGGCTGCAAAATGTGGAAAGCAGATCAAAGTTAGATGTAATGAATGTAAGAAACACTGTCTAGTGTTTCAATAATAACCGCAGAAATTAAAAATTCTGAAGCAAATTTCTTGAACATGAGGTGTAGAAGGTCCGCGGCATGTCAGTGTTTGCAAAGACTCACTTTGTTAAGGAACATTGGAACGCACACTCTACGAACACCTATTCGGTATATAACCATTAGCCTTGGCAACGGCTACTAAATATCATTACAGCAATTTAATGTTGCCTTGGCGATGAAAGTTCAGCAACTGTGTATCTTCTACGAGGAACAGTACAAGAACTGTCTTGGTATTTGCAGAGGAACGAACACCCGAATGAGTGTCCAGCTTTTGTAAATTATGATAAACAAAGAACTTTTTACAGACCACACCGGATATAGCATCAACAGAAGAGAAGATATCAATTTAATACGAAAAGAATTGCAGATTGATTTGTGCAAGAATGAAACAATCATGGAGGAAATGCATCGTGTATAACTCATACAGTCGATAATGTGATGAGAAAAAAACCGTACCAGTCTTCTCTTCAATAGATAAAGTAAGTATTTGTTTATATGATCACTACCTGTGCTGCGTAGCCTATCGCTGCAGCAATGGACGAATCGGGAACATTTGAAACAATATCAGCATCGACATGGGATTCCAGTGCCAGTGTTCTACCACACTGTTCTCTATAACACGAAATCGCGCTACCAGGACATGAAATCACTGGAAGTTCACTGTAGAAAAATGTGCTGATGCATGAATAACATAAGTAGGTAATGATAAACCGTTTACGATCATAAAGCTTCCACCTATCTGCTGTAATCTCATCGATTAGCGAGCAATTCATCTGGGCGCAAATAAACTGCATTAGTCCCAGTCGCCCGAAACAGCTGCTTAGTGGCTTCCACTCACTCAGTGGAGGAATGTAAGCAAGATCACAGTTTAAGATATAATGGTATTTTTACGTTGTTTATGGAAAAGAGTAAAGTCGAGTGTGGCTCATGCTTTACCGTGCTCATATTTTTTTTTATTTTTATATGACCCGCCTTCACATCTATTGTGCGGATCCCACATTCAGTTCGTTTCCTCGCAACCATTGTCCACGAAGGTCTTCCAACTTTTACGTGTGGTTCCGGCTGCTGCTTCAGGATTTTCGTTCCATCTTGGATGTCGTAGAATGCTGGTCGAGTTGATTCACGCTGGAGTGCTGAGATAGCCGTACTGGAGCGTTCCTAATTGAACTGCAGAGAGCGATTGTTTCTCAGACAAGCCCAGTACAAATTTCCCGACCCCAGGAAGATGAGAGGCTTGGTTGGCCCGGAGCGGAATCGAACTAGCACCATGCTCGTGATGACCAACACCATTACCACTGTGCTATCCGCTCCCTGGAGCTCATAATGACAAACAGTAACTAGTAAAACTAGTCTATGACTAATGTTTTGTAGTACAAGAATTTCTTTTGTTTCCCGAGTGCGTTGATCTAATTTTTATCACAAATTCTAGGATAATCTTCTAATATGATATGATAATTCCGATTCTGATAATACGATATGATAACCTATATGATAATTCACCACACCTGACAAATAACTATACATTGGTAGACTATGACTTTTCGTATTCGGGCATATAAGCAAAACTTCGGAAATTCCACCTGTAGAATTAATCTTAGCAGCCCACTACGAGAAATTTTGTTACTTCAGGAAAACATCAGGGTTTGTAGTGTTTACAAACAGAGAACACAGTCTACTCAAAACTGTTACTTTTAGAAAGCATGCATCATTTGTAAGAAGGAGGTAGTGGTTTGAAAAGTTACCAACCTGACTGACTGAACTTGTTGACCTTCGATAATTGAGTCATTCCTTGCGAAATACACGTACTCAAAGATGCACATTGCTTGTGATGTGTTTGGCTTCATCTGAGTATAAAGATGTGGAAAATAGTTAAGATGTGCGTCAAAAGGCCGACGAAATCATTAATTACATTGATGCTGCTGAGTGATAATGAAACTTCGAACGGTACTCACAGCGCTCACCTTTTGTTAGAAAAGTACCAAAAGTTCCATGAGATGCACGGTAAGCACAAATATTATTGGCATTACTAGATAAATTCAAGCGTAACGAGTAATTAGAAACGAATATTTAGATTTTGTAGATTTCTGATCTCTAAGTGTTTTCTCAAACAGAGCGAGCATATCTTAGACACCACACACTGAGTTATGTAACTTTCATCTCATAAGTTTTTTGGTAAAAACTCTAATAAAGTAACGTACCTGACAAACAGATCGTATTCCCTTGCAAGAGATTTCCACTATTTCACCAGCACCAACCTCAAAATTAATATTCGCCATGCTCGGCAGCGCACAAGATTCTGAAGCCGCGCAGTAAGCGACGGGGGATCCGCGCATTTCTGCAATGATTGCCTACCAACCTAACAAAAAATATTACTAGCATTCGCCAAAATTTATAAACGCTGTGAGATAGAAATGTAAATTGAGACGTCAACCAGATAACTTTCAAATATTCCAGACCTATATGTACAGGGTGCGTGGTTGGAGGCGCCCTGTAACACACATGGGATCGATCCCTGCCCCCAAGGCTCACCGAGTCTTCAATCCTTTGGGTCGGCAAATTGGTACTAGACTTGTCTGAGAGGATGGCTGCAGTGGCTCAACGTATCGATAGGGCACCGCGAGTCATTGTAAATGCCAGCTATGCATTCAACCACCTCTAGCGATGCTTCATGAAATCGAATGCATGGCGCATCGCTCAGCGATTCATCAACGCTGACAGCTTTATCTTTGTATCTTTTATATATGCGTATAGAGTGGGCACTTTGTTTGTCCTTTCCTATTTTTCTGTTAAACGGTGAATCAATAAAGTGCTCGGCTTTGACCAATCCCTGAGGAAACCAAGCACCGCTGGACGTGAGTGAATGCGCATCCGGTGTATACAATGAATTACGATGACCTAACGATGTATCAAGTCAGTACTGTTATTCTCCCAAACAAGGTTGGTAGCAATTCTTCGATCCCTGAGGAACTGCATGCTTAGTGATTGCTGGACGCGGGATCGAACCCATATATATTGCAGAGCAATTCTAAGCAATGCGTTACATGCGCCCTTATCTTTTATATCACAACCTAGGATCTGCAGTGTGTAAAACTGTCGCAAATATCAATGTGGCGCAAATTCAGCGGTTTTTGAACAACTTGATTTGCCGGCGAAAACTAAAAAAGTGGGTGCCACCTTCTATGGCTGATAGATAAATTTCAGGGCGAAATTAGCCGTTACTCTTCGAATTATTTTATAACACTGTTGGTGGCTAAAGTGCAATATTGATACCCATATGTCAGGCTTGTGTGGGAGCGATCCTCATTCTCAAAACATTTGCGACGATGATTTTCTTTCGATCAACAGACGATAATTATTTGTAAACTAGATAAGTGAATTAGTTGATAAGTTATAAATATGTTTAGAATTTAAGATCTCAAAGGAATGAAAATGAAATTTAAATTTTTGAAGCTCTCAACGCAAGTGCGGTAGCGGCATAACGAACGCTATATTGGGCAACAACGTGAGCCTCGACGAAGGATAATGGTAAAAATACGTCTTGTGGATCGTAGAAAATCAGATTCCGACTTGATAAAGTTGAAGAATTTCCATCTTGTAGGAAAATATCTGCAGATACTAATGGTTCTTATTCCAATTGATAGAGTCCAATACGAGCTGAGGTACGTCGCTTTGATGGTGAAAGCAGCCATAGCTCGCATGCATCGTGTGGTTGCCATTAGGGATATGCTAACGTAACAGTTTGATTAATATGGGAAAAAGAGAATGAGAACGCCAAACAGTTGAATAAACATTTGAGGCAGCCAGATATTGGCGGAAAAAATTCGAGACCGACCCTCTGTTTCGTAGATAGTGCCTACACAAAGTGGCCGATTGCCGTAAGGGTCACGAATAGCATACAGGCGATCATAACTCATCACCAATAGAGAATATGACATATTGATGGCTGCCATGGTCACAGCAAGCTCCTCAAAAAAAAAATAGTGAAAGTAATCACAACAGACTAGGCTTGAAAAAACAAGAAGTCCAGTTATTTTCGCATGTTTGAATTTGCATGGATAATAGAAAATTACCTTAGAGATATCACCCCAATCAACGTCGTTTCGGTTCTTGTAATTAAGCGCTATGGCCTTCGCTACCATTTGAGCTATTAGCTCAGAGTCGGTGTCGGTCGACAGACCGACCCCTTCATGTAGCACCTAAACAAGAGTCATCAACTCCTATAAGAAATAGATCAATTGGTTCTCAAAAAAAATGATGAGGAGCGAAGATGGAAATCGAAGATGGATGTTTTCATCGGCTTGGTTCTTCTTGCAACGTCAACTCCCCACAGTAATATACCTAAATTTAAAGAAATGCTCTTGCGAAACCCTCCCATCGGTTTACCGCCTCATCGTGGCTGGGAGCTGTTCCCATGTGTCGGGCTGAAATGTACAGCGGGTTGATTCGTCCACCCGGCAGGATCTCCCAAGCTGAGAAAGAGTCCGGCATTTCCATCAGGAAGCCTAGCTAAGAGTAAGCCAATACCAGGGCCCACCACCGTCTTGGTATTAAAGTTGCATGGTGATAAATCTCCCTCTGATCCACAAGGGCTGCGACTGGCTGTCGTGGTGAAGACCTGGGGCAGACTTTGGCCAGGCTGACCTCGGGATTCCAGAGAACAATGGCTTAACCAGCAAATCTCCGAAAAATGGTGATTATGCTGGGGCCCGCACAAATAGTGATGACAGGCTGTTCAACTGTCAAGAGTCAAGTGTCTTACGAAACCAATGGAATGTAATGTTTCTCCCAGAATTTTTTCCCATTCTAAAGAACCAAGGATAGCTCCGAATCGTGAAGCGTGACAGTCCAAATCTCAAAGATATTCACATTAAATAAAGAAGGAAACAAAACACTATACTCTCATTAATCTACTAAGACTAAGGTTGTAGTAAAAATACGGCAATAAAATCAGCAGATTGATTACTCTCATAATTGACAACATACGAGTTTAATTTATAACCTTCAAAACGTTGGACAGTTTAGTGATTTAATCGTGGACACCGTAGCAATACTTCAATTTGTTCCGTTTCCTCATGATAGTCATTTTTTAAAGTACTTAACTTCGCCACTTAATATCACCGCTCATCCTTCACTGTGAATGACTAACAGGTCCGTTCATCTTGTAGGTCTTTAAAAGAAGTTTGGGTTCCCAAGATCGACTTTCTCTTAACCTCGTCATTGGAATATGAATGTGTCGTTTTCTTGTTCAGCAATCGCGAGGTTTTTAAACAGCATACATTTACTTCCATAAAAACACAATACAATACAACGCTTGCTGACGTTTCGGCAGTATCGCCTTCTTCAGAGACTGGAAGGGTATGCTGATATACAATCTACTAGGCCAAACGCTTCAATAACACTTACACAAAGACGAAAGACTCTTTGGTAACTACATGATCAACAACTTCTCGAAAAACCTACCGCTTTTTCGTGATTTCCAATGAGGAAGTTTAGAACAGCTGATTATAGTCGCATGTGGTTGACGACTGCACCATCCCACATCAAAAATCGATGCGAACGTAAGGGATCAGGTCGCGTATGACCTCCGGGCATTCGTCCCTGCTATTCATTGTAGGGTTTTTGGCATTGATCCAAAAAGCCTCTAGGAGTTTTCGCGCTGGTGTTTTGGACTCCTGTGCAAGGATATTGACTTTCACTTCAAAATCGTCTCCGCTATGCTTTTGTATCCTATGCGTGCCTAGTGGGGTGCTTCGTCTTAGTTTTCGTTTGCCATCTAGGTGTTCTTTTATACGGATACACAAAGGTCTGCCCGTTTCGCCAATATATTCATCTCCGCAATTGTTACACGAGATCAGGTATATCGTACCTGAACTCATGCAATCACCGTCCCTGCCGTAAGGGCAAATTACGCAATTTGTTGTTTCACACAGACGGTCACACAGGCGGTTGCGAACTAATTGGCGACGTAGAGTAGTCGGTGGTATTTCAACTATCGCTACCGATTCCTCTAGACTTGCCCTTCTTAAGCATCGTTTTATAGCTGCGCTTACTTCGACCCCTTCAGTTGGGTTATTTTGATGTTCACTTTTGATCATCGACTCTGATGAAGAAGACGACGTCGAAGCAATAGCGGAATAAAGTTGTTTATCAACCTCGTGTAAGCTTATCAAAGGGAGGTTATATGTCGATCACTCTTCCGTTCTTCTAATCCATTTGTCGCCGATTGTCCTTACAACATCATCGGTCTCTGCTTCATTCTTTAAACGTGCATTTCCCTGCATTCAAATCAACTTTATCAGCAACAAGAACACCTGTCTCCCACCAGTAATTCAGTGGATGGAGCATTATGTCTCGAAAAGAATCGTGCAACTATCACCTGTATCGCCTGTCGTCCCGTTGGTTGTCGAGTGACTCGAGCGATCGCCACTAAGACTTCCACATCACATCTCCCTGCCGCGTGCAAGTGTAGCCCACCTCGTTGTGTTCGCTCTACAGATTAGTTGAGCATCACATCTTTCCTCTAGACTTTTCGTGAAGAACTCTGACTATCGAGTCAGTGGTCTTTCTGCAGTACAGTTGAAATCCCGAGGAATCTAGTCGCTAACTGTTCCTGTTCATCGGTTGTCGTTCATGCGTATTACGTGCACGGCTTGTTTTATCTACGACAGTTTGGTGTATAAAACGGCGCGTGTGATTTTTGATCGCCGACGCAGGCCGGAGCTTCGGATCCATTCCCTTACCTGCGTGAACGGGATAATACTAGCAACTCATTTCGACTGCGCGTTCCATAACGTTGAGTGGTCGTTCACTCTCCTTACGCAGCAACCAGGTTTCTAATGCCTATATTAAGGGAGAAATAATTGTGGAGTTGAAGTGGTAGGCACGGAATGGGTGTTCTTTGTTCTCTTCACTACATCGTCGATGCTCCTGAAAATTCAACAAACCGCTCGCTTCCTCCTACTCAACTTCGGGGCTAAGTCTTTTAGCATGTTGGTTTCATGACAAGATAGACGTAGCTGGAGCATTCGGTGATAAGCGTGCCGTTGAGCGCGAGTGGGATACACGAAAGTGATTTCCACTCCCAATGTTGTTCAACCACCGCGTTCGCGTGACGTACTCGAGCATAAATTGGTGACATTTTAGTTGTGGAATTTTTATATAGCTTACGAAGAAACGTCATAAACTGAGTAGCGACGCCTTGGCTGTCCAGGGTTTTCATGACTGCTTCTATCTCAACTGAGTGAAAAGCTTCCCCAAATCGACGAAAATGAGATACAGCTGTCTCTTGTACTCTCGTGATATTTCAATGAGTCTTGTTATCGTAAGGATGTGGTCCATCGTACTAAATCCTTTCGAAACCCTGCTTGGTCACATGGTTGTCCTTCTTCCACAGTTCTGAAAAACCTGTTTCGAATGACACGAGTGAAAAGTTTGTGGACGACAGACAGCAAGCAGATTGGGCGGTAGTTGCCGATGTCGTGGAGGTCTACTTTCTCGAACAACAACACAGTCTTGCTGGTCTTCCACTGAGTAGGGATCTTGCACTCAGACAACTAACGTGTGAAGAGCCAAGCAAGTGTGCTTACGAGGACTGGTAGAATGTTCATAGGTGTTCAGATCTTACCCTCTTCAGACCTGGCGCCTTCCAGGTTTTTACCGACGAAAGAGCACATCGGAATTCGGAAAGGAGAACCGGTAGTACGACATAGCCGTTCTCCTTTATTTCCTAAGAGGAAAGCAGGACGTGGCTATTGAAGAGAGAGTAGTAGTCGTGAATGACTTTCTCCACTGCTTTTCTGGACGTTGTAACTGGTCCATGTTGGAGTGCAATCATTTCGGTTTTCTGATTGGTGAGGTTTCGCTGGGATTTGGGAATACTTTTCCCAGTATCTGTATCTTCGACCATAACTGCTGCATTTTTCTTTTTAAGATCTTTTATCGCCTGTCTGCACTGTTTTGCAAGTTTTGACATGAGATTGCGGTTGTTTGTAGCTCGTGCGATTCCCCGCTGGCGTATCAGCTTGAGTGTTTTGGAGACAGACGTTTCTTAAGGACTTTCGAACTTCCAACTTTCATAACGCTAACGTAAATATGTTGAAGAAGCTCATAGTACTAGTACTCCTCATCGATGTTATTAAAAATGGCATCTTCACGACGGCAGACTAATGAACTGTAGATATGGTGGTTTTGGGATTTCGTTTTTTTCTTCGTAATTAGCGGCTTTTTCTCCCCTCTGTAAGAACTGAAATATTGCACGAAAGAGGCGATAATCTGATCACATATAGCCTTTTGAAATAACAGCGACATCCTTTAGGCAAAATCATAGATTTACTATGTGTTCTATTTCGTTGTGGTGCTCTCCATAGGAAAACTCTCACGTCCAGCTTTGAGTACGAGGCTTCTGGATTGTGAGTTACCGTGAATGGTCATAGTGGTTATGATAAAGTTAGATAGCCGCTTACCCTACTCGTTCCATTTTAATCTGTAGGTCCTAATATGACGTTCTTCAGAAGAATAGAAAATACAATAAAACAGTAGCTGACGTTTCAGCAGTATCGCCTTCTTCTTATTCCATATTGCAATGCCGAGGTTAATAGAAAGTCGATCCTGGGAACTGTTCTTCAGAGGTTCTTCTGGGTCCAGTTTTAGCGTAGAATCTCCAACGACGACCTTAAAACATGTACGTTTTCTCTGTGGAACTTCTCCAAGTCCATATAGAACGCTTCGATACCGTCTTCGTCCACAATGGTCCACAGACGACGAAGATTGTCAATGGCGGTATTGATGCACATTTCAACCGTAAATGTCCAATTCGGGTTGTTAGTCGTTCGAGTGAGTCCATGTTCATGGCTAAACTCGTGTGGACGAGAACAACAACGCAGCCTACTCCTCTACTATCGCATGTTCCGAGCCACAGTCCTTCACTAGTGCCACAGACGGCGTTGAATGGGCGACGTCTTCTCGTCTCAGTCAGTGGGATGGCGTCATATTTTATCCTTATTATCTACATGATGAAGTACTATACCAAGGATTTAGATGAGAGTGAGAGTTCATTTTAGGTCCAGATAGTCACTTTAAACATTTGCGATTTAAGTAGCCCAGAATGCCACTAATATTTTAGCTGGTTTTCCGCACTCGTCCTTTCTCATACTGTCTTATCAAGGGCTTTTTAGAAGTCAGGGGAATGACGCTCACTTATTTTACTGTGTTTGACGTTTGATACTCTTGCTGAGCTCTGAAAGTGGGGGTTGAATATACTCACATCCAGTTTTCCAGTATCTCCGAGAGTAGGGTGGAGCGTTTTTGTTGGAGGCGCCTCCTAACCGCCTACAATATATTTCTCGGTCATCTAGGTTTTGGCAAATTTAACTAGTACAATGAAAACGACATAAACGAGAACACATCAACGCACACACGCATGATTACGTCCTCGCAAACACAGAAGCTGTGTGCCAAATCGGCACAGTTGAAACAAGGAGTCCATGCTCTTGATCCACCTGCGTCTCAAGGTACCAAAGGTTAATTTTGGTCCGCGATTAACATCTGCTACCTCAGGACGCACCAGGTTACGTCGCCACTAACCGCCACGAGATCGCTATATGACGGGCATCAGTGGTTCGTGTGAGCAGAAAGGAAAAGTAGCTAGAAGTTATGAACATGAACTGAACCGTCTGACTTTGGATGCATCAATGAACACCAGACTACATTGTTGAGAAATCGCACTACTTCCTCATACCTCTTCCCTTTTTTTCTTGGCATCCACCAGTTCACCATTGTGTGCAATGGCAATAGCACCAACAGCCGTGTAGACAACAAATGGCTGTATACAGTTAATCGCGCATGGCTTCCTTCCTGCTGTCGAGTAGCGATTATGACCGATAATGACGTTGGATCCTGGAACTACTTTATTCAAGAAATTTGGAAAGATACACTACAATACCAACTGTTTTCTAAAGCTGAAGATAACAAATTTTGTTCTTAGAACTAATTGCACCACTAGAGCAATAACAGTCCTAACTCGGCAGAAGAAGAGCTAAAAAAAAGTCCAATACATTCCATTAATACTTCATTCCATATAAACCAAGTGCGATAAACTGTTCATGGAAGGAAAAAGCTAAACTCATCAAGTGGCTGTCATATGAGTGTTTTTGAGAATGCTACATACAGTTAACTTTAGAAAATCCTTGTTGAGATTAAACAACGGAGTTCTTACAGAAAGCAATATGTAGTTGATGTAATAGGAGTAGAATTCTCCTAAATAGCTACGCGTATTTTTAAATCTCAACATTGCCTCTTAGTTTACAGATATTCTGCTCCACGAAGACATCCCTAACAAGGCCATGTCCTTTTATGATTTCCAGCTGTTGTCGATCCTTACCGTTCGAGCCGACTAACCCGGAAGCTTCCGTACCCCTGAAACAAAATTTCTCATGGTTTTAAAGAAACATTAGTTACAAACACTGAAGGATACCGTAGAACGGTTGTGTCATTGAAAATGTTAATATAAAGTTGACTAGCAGATTTTACCATTGTTATTAGATGAACCTACATTATATGTACCACCTATGCAGGTCCCAGAACTTAAACTTCATTCGCTCTCTTTCATCCACCACCCACGAAGGTTTCAAAGCTTTTTACGTTCGAGTTCGGCTGCTGCTCAAGGGATTCTCCGTCTTGGTCAGAGCTTGAGTATTGCCACTTGGATCGGAAAGCGTTATCTTCTCTCAGATAATTTTGGCACCAGTTCCCAGATCCCGTTGGGATGAAGGGGTTTTGGGCCCGCCCAGAGCGAGGTCAAAGCAGCGCCTGGATAGGTGGAGCCGTCTGAGGAATGGGCCGGATCCCTACCACTGCGCTAGCCGATCCTGTGCGTTCGAAATAACTTAGCGACTTAGACGGTCTCGCATACGTGGTAATGAGAATTTGAGTTTCAGTAATTACAGGTTCTCGGTTGCCACTTGAATGAACTGCATGACTGCTAAAGTAATTATTTTGAACGAACTTCGAACGCATTGAGTTCTCTAACGGTTGTGAATCTCGTTATCAATCACACAAGAATCCACTGACTTTTCAAGTTGATTCGTCTAAAGAAGTAATAAAACAATTCGATAAATTCATACTCGAATACACTACCAAGGGTTTACCGCCTCATTGTGGCTGGGAGATGTTCCTGGGTGTCCGGTTGCGATGTACAATGGTGGGTTTCATTCCCTTTGGAAGGTTTTTCAAGCTGAGAATGAATCCGGCGTTTCCATCAGAAAGCATAGCTAAGAATAAACCAATACTAGGATCTGTCACCGTACTGGTTACAAATTAGTCGCGTTGTAGCAAATCTCCCTCTCATCCACAACGGTGGCAACTACCTGCGATGGTGGCGGCAAAAGGCAGACTTTGGGCTGGCTGACCTCGAGACTCCAGGGAACCACGGTGGCTAGACCAGAAAAACTTCGAAAAAGAGGAAATTATGCTGGGGTCCGCATAAACAGTGAAGACGGACCATCCAAGTATCCAAGTAGGTATATTAGAACACCGCCGATTCCAAAAAAAGCTTTGTAAATGCTTGGCTCGTGGTTGCTCAATGGAGCGTGCGCGTGTATATAATAGATAACTAGATCTTAGATGACATTCACACCTGTGCTGAAGTGCTGTGAGACCATCAACTGCGAGGACATGTAGTGCTACGTCGATTTCCACTCCTTCGGCTTTTACCAATCCTATGATCCCACACATTCTATAATTTACTACTCTGTTTCTCTTTTTAACAAACTTATCCTATTTTCAGAATTCATTCATATCAACAGTGTCGCAAAAAAAACTACATTTTATAAAAGGAACGTATGTGTAGGTATTTCGAAAAGGAACGTATGTGTAGGTACTGTAGCGAGAAGAGATAAAGACGAATATCATCTGCCAGAAATGGCTGCAGTCTATTTGTACGCTCCTTTCTATGAATAGTTGAAGGTATAGAAAACTTATATTTCTTTTCTTCGCAGTCAGTCATTACTCAAATATATCGTGTTTTATTTAATGCTACATCCAATAATTTGATCTAGTATCCCGTAAACTTGTAGAGCGATGGGAGTTGCGACGGTTTGACGTAAGTCCTTTGATTTAAAAGAAAGCTTTAAAATATCGTGCTTGAGTGGTCCAAAATTTTGAAATATAACTGCCAAACTGAAAGAGTCAGCAAGCGTTATCGTCTGCATCCTTCGGATCCCATTAACCACCGTTTGACTTCGTCCGACATCTCGACTTGTCCATGTGGTGCGCTTACTCGAAGGGTAAGGACATTCTTTCACAAATAAACTAATACGAGGTTCATAACACAATTTATTCGGCTAACGTTTAGGCGCCTGGCTATAATTATTGAATCTTTTGAACAAATAACAATGCGAAAGCCATGTTTACGTTAGAAAATATGTGGAAAAATGCCTTCTCACAGATTTACCCCCTCATCATGACTCGGTAATGGGTGTTGGACTGCAGTGTGAAGCGGCAGCTCACCCACTTAGCAAGGATTCCCAGGCTGGGAACGAGTGCGACGTTTCCAACCGTAATTTCAGCCGAAAGTAAACCAATACCACTCGTGGTATTAGACTACTCGCAAAGTGGCAAATCTCCCTCTGATTCAAAAGGGAAGGCGACTATTTGTGGTGGTGACCACCCGAGAAAAGCTTTGGTCAGGCTGGTCTCTGAACTGCAAGGATCTACACTGGCTAAACCAGAAGTGCTCCTGTTTCAGTACCTCGCGCACTAAGAAATCAGTGTCCGGCACAAAAAAATCTGATTACCCTGCAAATAAAAAAATCGCCATGGTAAACGAAGATGGGACTATCGCTACATCTTGCCATAATATGGAATTGATAAAGGAAATGTTTTATATTAGTCCTTTCCGCTCCATAATCCCTGTTTCGTGCCCTGAAACTCCTGGTGGTGATAAACCGCTCAGGATTCTACCCTTAGTATGAGTTGCGATAGACAACATGAGAGGCACGGTTCCAAGACGTCATAATATCAGTTCCAATTTCCTTGAACCTTCAGGGCACAAATTACATGTAGTTCTCGTAATCCGAATGAGATCTTGATTTCAGAAAGAGAAAATCCCAGATCAGTGGGCGCAGTCATCTTAGTTAAGAAAGGTGACCGAAAGTTTCTTCGTAATTACCGTCCAATATACTTGTTGGGTGTACTCTACAAGCTGCTCATGAAGGCTATCCTTTTACGCATAACAAAGACCTTGAAAGAAGCAGAACCAGTTCAGCAAGCAGGAATCCGACAGGGGTTCTACTGCGCGGACCAAATCCAGCCCGTACGGGCAGGTTGTATAAGTCTGCCGGGATTACCATCTGCTCGTAGTCCTAGCCTTTATCGACTAGCAGAAAGCGTTTGACCGCGTCGAAATGAATCAGCACTCAAAGATCAAAGAGTGGATCCATCCTATATACAGAAATATATAGCGTTTTCAGCAACCTCTCACCGTACCCATAGAAAAAGCGGATCAACAAGGAGAGACAATATCGTTAAGGTGATTTAGTACCTCACTGCAATGGATAGTGATTTTCCTCGTCTGGAAGGAGAAAGTCATACCTATTGATGGGAAGTTCCTGCAAAGTCCTCTTTTCGCGGATGACATCATTATCCTTTCAAGGAATACCAGTGAAGCAGAGATGATACGCACTGAACTCAACAAAGCGTGGAGAAAAAGATCAGACTGCGCTTAAATAAGACGAAGATGTTCACGACGAACACATGCTGCCAAGAATAAAAAGTTGGACTCGATAGTTCTCTGATAACAGAGACCGCCTGGTAAGTGTTTCTTGACGTTCAATGAACATGCAGAACAACATGAAGGAAGAATCACACAGAAGAAGGAGAGCAGCATGGACTGCACTCGGAACTCAAAGAAGCCACTGACCAATTAAATGATCTGGAACTGCGTGTTCATCTTTCGATTCAAAAATCCTCCCAGCGCTCTTTGTGCAACAGATACGTGGGATGATATTTAAACCAAGTCAAGAAATCCTCGTACCACCCACAGAGCGCTTGAATGTCTTCTAAAATTTAATAGGCACTCACAGCGTTTAGCCGGAATGCACAGTTCAGATCCTCGAAAACTATCCCATTTTCAAGATCAAGGAGAATATAGATCGATAACGGAACCAGATTGGCTTGTCACATTATAAGAAGTACAGGTGGCAAATCGACAAAAAGAACAGTGGGGTAGGCTACAAGAGAATGCAAGCGTCCTCTTGAATAACCACCAAACGATGGGCGGACGTGTTCGTGGCTAACATCAACCGTTAGCACTAGAACATCGCAGTGATTTCAGGATTACGAGAATGGGCCTCTTGAGCGTCACGAGGTTCGAAGCAGAGCACTACCATAGACGACGACTGCGCGAGAAAGAAATGAATGAAAATTGTGCTTGGGCCTGCACCACCACTGAAAATAGGCCACCCAAGTAAGTATTCAAGTGAATTGTGAACGAATATAGGTTTTGTCAAACTTCCTCGACTGCAATTTCATGTCACGTTACAATAAGACGAGCTACAGACGCTTTATATAAATTTAGGCAAAACTTCCTATAGAGAACACCACATCTTCAGCAGTAGAGCCATTCATGACTTTAGCTCGAGATTGGATATATCAGCTCGGAGCAATGTGGCTCTGAATAAAGCGAAGGCACCGAAACGTTAGTCAAATAACGGTTTTATGCCAACCTCGTGTTAGCTCAGTTACGTAGGAGAATTATCGATTATTGCTAATGAGGTCTAATGGAGGTCGGCTCTTCAGTAGGGAATCCGATTTCTCAATATACGGCGGCGATTCATGATCAGATACAAAGTGTGCTGGACACCTAGTGCGCCTCAACGACAACCGATGGACGAGAACTGTCAGACGCTGGATCTCACGGGATGTCATGCGCACAGCAAGAAGAGTCCATGATTAAATGACTATAATTCTTCAAGAAAGTGCCAGAAGAAAAACATCATGGTCAATGAGTTCATGGAATGAACAGAACTCACTGGGCTAGTTTACCCTATGATACTGACGTCCGTTTGAGTCACTCGACAATCGAAGGTAGGGCAGCGGAATATAGCTGAGTTCCATGTCAACGATATAAATGATAGAAATCCGATGTATATTGCATTCGCTGTGCAATATAATTTTTGCGCAAATTCTCGAAACACGTGGTGATATTTGACAATTCAATTGATGAACTAATCCGAACTTTTGTGTCCTGGAACAAGAAACCCGTGGCCTTCGGTGGGGCGTTCTTTTACATGCCAGGCTCGTAGAAAGAGGATTTCTTTCAAGATGTTTTTATCGTAAACGAGTAATCTTCTTCTCATGTGATGTCACGAGTTTATTTCCAGTGTTTCAGCATATCGACTTTTCTATCCCTACACGAATTAGTGAGTGGTAGTTGACGATAATGAACCCATTTTGTCTCGAAGTCTGGAGAGGAAAGATACATAACAACGGTCGAAAAACCTCTTGCGAGTCAACCAGATGTGCAATGGATGGACGTGGAGCCTTTCACTTGTTCTAGTTTTAACTTCCTGTGGGGCGTCACGTGGACTTCGACGTGACAGGTGACCTCGAGAGTGCTGATCGATGACTAAAGTTATTCTAGTACTAAGCGCGCCAAACAAGAAATACTCCCGGTGGCATAGGTGGCTGGTTTGGTCCGGTACAGTGACGTCTGTCACAAGTCGACATATTATCGCCTCTCATCGGTTGTCTCACCGCTTGACATCTTCGAGACATTTAAAATGCAGGGCAGCGAAGTCTCTCGAGTTCTTCAATTCCCTTAAATTGAGAATCGGACGCGGATGTGGCGTCTTGCGTACTCAGTTCAGAACAGCGGGAGTTCCTAGCATAACTCTGCTCTTAGCTGGGGTTTCGGAGAGAAATGTAGAACCATTAAGAGATTGCTGGAGTAAAGCCTTCTCAAATTCAGTCGTCAGTGAAAATTATCGGCAACCTTCTGACTAGGAGTTTTGTTACGTTTTGATTAAGACTTACTACATACGTAAAAAACAGTCGAGCGTTATAATGGGGTACGCCTCTTCATTGGTGGTTTAGATGAATTCCAAATTATGTCAAATTTTTTGTCCCATTCAGGGAGACTCGCAAAAGAACGACAACATGGCAAGATTGACGACTATTTTAATATAATAATAATAGTAGCAATAATAGTAGAAATGGTAAGAATGGTAATTTTTCATGGTGTTGTTTCAGCTGCTGCTCGAGGATTTCGTCTTCTTTTATGAATGCCATAGAATGCTGGTCGAATCGATTTTTCTTGCAGTACTGGAGATAGCTAGGCTAACGCACTCCTATGTGGATTAGAGGAGAGCGTCGGAGAAAGGTAGAACAATCACCTGTGCTTCCTAATCGACTTCCTAATCAGTGACCACTGCGCTGCCCCACCCTGGTAATGTTTATTCATGGTTACAATAAAAATATTATTTCCTTTTATTTATGAGCATCCATAGCGTTTTAACAAAACGGTTTATTCTGCTATCGTTTCGGTGCTTTTGCGCTCTTCTGAATTGTAGTGAATCGAGCCAATCGCCCACAGCAGCTCGTCCTCGCGAAGTGGTGTCTTTGTCGGCGGATGGAGTCGAATGTTCTGGAATGCAGCGCCGCCCGAATGGAGTAACGTCTCTGGGCGACGCTCTTCAATACAGGAAAGGTGTTGATCTGTCGATAACAATTTGGTT